AAACAAAACAACTTTAATGAAAACAATAACAACAACAGCTACTACAACAACAAACAACAACAACGGGTAAATAATGAGGAATTCTTTGGCATGATTGACAATTCAAAGATGGCTGCTTGCTCTCTTTCGATCTCTATTCACCTTTTTAATATAGTATCTTTCAAGATAAAAAATACGTTTAATTGCATCACTAAGTTAAGTTAAGCCGAAATAAAAGGCTTAGAATTTGTATGCAAATACATACAAAGCTAACGTGTTAATGTATATTAAATTAAAGATTATCGTATTAAATATGTATATATTAGAAAATATGTTAATTAATATTTAAAATTCTATAACCGCAACCGCAATTCGAGGCATTTGCCACGACATTAGCTTCTATTCTTGAAGTTCAAAGCAAAATAATCCACACATATATTTTAACTCATCTTATTAAGAACTTATAAAAAAAAGGAATATAAATTGCAGTTTTAACAAACCTATGATTTTCAGTTATTAATCCACAAATTTTCGATTTAACGACACAATTTTTCTTAATTTTTTATGAAATCTCAATGAATTTCATTGTTCACACAAAAATGTCACTTTATTTATAATATTTTCTTATTTATTATTATATTTTATATATATCTACACGTATCCAACAATTATTTATTGTTATATTGAAGGTGTGGTAGAAATAGTATCCGTGTCTCGTTTGTGCACTTTTTTAAGTATTTTTTTGTTTCACACTTTTTTGTATACTGTATATTCCGTAACTTGAACGCAAACACAACAATTCCGAACGAGAGGCAACAAGCAACTGAAATTTAAAACCTTGTTGAATTTACCACATTCTTTCTTAGCTTAAACGTTTTTGTCTATGACACAAATACAAGTGCAGTCAACTCAGTTCAACCCGCTTGCGTACGTGCACACCTGTATAATCATGCTGTGAGAGCGGAGCGCACCTTAAATATTTTCTCACATTCCTTATGTTTATTTATTATTTTGCCATGGCTTAAATAGAAGACTTGACTTGTTGCTATTGTTTTTTTCACCTCATAAAAGATTTACTTGACTCTCTCTAATTGCTTTAAATTATTATTCACCATACTTGCAGTATGTTTGTGTGGTTAATTCAGTAACTAATATTAGAAAAAGACTGAAACCAGCAACTGTTAATATTTCAAGCTCCTGTAGTTTGTCAAACATGATTGATATTATTTGTTATTACTGTACAACGTATGTTAGTAATAATTTTTATTTATATGTTGTATTTTTATTTAAAATACAAACTTATAACACAAAAATAATAAGTTTCACAAAAATAATAATAATAAACTAACAAGTACAAGAAATAAAAATCCATTCAATTGATTTATTTTAAATAAACCATTAGTATATGAGTATATTAGACAAATCTGGTCTTAGGTTTTTATGACAAAGAAAAACATTATAAAATATTTTTTAATTTTATTATTTATCACTAAAGAAATTTTTTCGAACAGTAGTGAACTACAACAACAAAAATCAATAAAATATTATTTTAATTAAATATTCATTGAATTCATATTACTAGAATATGTAATAAAATGTCATTTTATTGTTGTTTTCTAACATCTTCAAGAATGGTTAAATTATTATTATTATAACTACAACTATTATGAAAGTTGAAATTATTAAAAATTAAATTAAAGAAATGTCGGATGATAGCATAAAATGCTATTAATTAATAAAAAAAATTGTCTAATATTTACTTACTATAAAAACCTACAACTAGATTAGCCTAAGATACTGACATAAAATCATAATCACAATAACTGTACAAAAATGTAACATATAGGAAATACTTACATATTTTCAATATACTATTATTGACAAAAATCATTTATTTTAATAACTAATATTTATTTATTTATAAATAAAACTTAATAAAAATTAATTGAAGAACTTTTTCTTTATTTTTATTTAATTTTGTTTATTATTTATTATTAAATTATTTATAAATTTTACATAAAATTAAAATTTAATATTAGTAATTCTGCAAACTATTAATATTATTTCTGTTAATTTAAAATAGAATACAATTGTTTATGTTGTGTGGTGTATTTAGTTTAGTTCTTCTGGTAAATAAAAGGCAATTAGGAGAGAGAGGACCCTTAGATATAAAGTGCTTAAAATGAGATAGTTAGGCATATCTAAGGAAAATTTTGTTAAGACTCTTGGTGATATTGGTTTTAACCATGTGAATTCATTTAAAATTTCATTTTTGAAATAATAAACAGAGAGCGGTACAAATAACATTTGTTTATAGGCGTAGGGCACGAAAATTAAAATTATTTAATTTTATTATTTTTAAAAATTCGAACGCTGAAGACATTCTATAAAGTGAAGAAGAATTAAATATATGATTTAATATTTATTTAAATGAAAAATAATAATATATATAGTAATTTTTTACTGGTTATACTATAGCTTTTAAATATGCTTAGAATTTTATAAACAAAAGAAAATCAACGACGAACTTTTAAACAAAATATTTATTTGAAATAATGTAAACTTTTTAAATAAATCGTTCATATATTTTTACCTTTAAGTAACGTTTTATATATGGAACAAATTAATTATTAGGTAAATATATGCATCTCAATGTTTGGAAAAATTACATATTAAAGCCTGTAGAGAGCCAAATGTGGAAAGGAAATAAATTGGAAAGCCATGTAGTCTACTAATCACAGACTAAAAACAACGTTGCTTTAATCTTATTCATTACAACTCTCTACCTAGCGGAACAAAGCAAAACCATTTTGGCACTGAGTCCAGAGATGTTAAAATCTAAGCATTGAGAAAAACGTAAAGGCTGATGAACAGACAAAGAAAGGATCTAGCGTTCAAAAAGCTTTTGCAAAATTGTTTTGATGTCACTGAATCTAATAAATTTTTTCAAATAGCGGATCGTGAATGAAAGGATAGAATAATAATAAATAGGAATAAAAGAGATACTTCAAAACTGACGGCAGTTATTACTTGCTTTTGGCTTACTGTAGAAAACGTACCCAATATGAATTGCTCACACTACATACGGCTACAGCCACAACCACCATAGGTAAACTGGCATGGCGCTAATATTAGTGATGTCTAATATTAGCGACCTACTAAGGCTCCAAGAACGGCCAAGTCTACGTCACGGAGCCACTCGTCGACAACGACGACCAAGTGCTGTTCGTCATCTCCCAAAAGGACTTCACAAGCAGGTCCAAGGGGATTACAGCAACAACCTGCTAAACTTATTAATCACAGGAAATGGATAATACTTCTCTCCTGTTTTGGATAATATATTTATTCACACTGAAAATTATAAATTTTCACCTTTTAATGTTATTTCCTTTTCTGCAATACAATAAATAAAATACGTTTCATTTTAGTTGCCATATTTTAAGGAAATTTATTTAAAATAATTATTTATTCAATTTTTGTATGCTTAATACGTATGTAGAACTATTACAATACTTTTGTTTATTTCAAATACTTTATTGATGTTGGCCAAATTTAGCTGCATTTTAAATATTATTCAAATTTGCAATTTTCAATTTTTAATTTATACTCGTATTTCTATTTATTTTGAAAAAAATATAAATATTTTACGCAGCCAAATAAAAAAAAATTAAAACATAAAAATGAGGATTGCAGTTATTTGCAAATCGTATACATATTAAATGTTATATTCTTATAAACAACAATCATTGTTTTTATTCGTTATACATATGTATTCTAAAAAAATGTTTATAAAACATACAACGAGTGCATTAGCACCCCACTTTTATATTTCTGCTTTTGTCCTTAGCTTTCGGTTACGTTGTGCTTTAAAGTCTATTTAACTTATACAAATATATTGCATCCATCTCTTTAATATAATGTTTATAGTATCTCGATAGTTAAGTTTCTCTGTAAATGTAAATATATAGTATTTTTACAATACATACTTCTATTTTTCCCTTATAATGTTTCTGAATAAATTTACTCAAATAGTTTCGCTTAATTTTTTTGATACATATCTTTTGCAAGCATTTTACTGATTTAACATTATTTTTAAAATTGTTTTTCTTATATATTTAGTACACATTATATTAATAATGTATTCCTTTAGTATTAGTAGAACATTTTCATTTTAGTTACTATATTAATAGAAATATTAATTAATAATGATTAAACCTAATTAATGTGAAACAAATTAAATTTAATTTATGTCGTATACATGTTTCGTTTGTTTCTCTTGAGAATAAAATGTTTTTTGCTTTACTGGTACAATATTTACTTCTTTTTCAAATATATATATCTATATATATACTTTTTTAATTTTAAATAGATCTGTTATATAGTATATAGTAGTAACTGCAATATTTTTATTTAATTTAAGACAAATGCCAAAAAATGGTATATTTAAAATTTCGTTTTGTTGGTATACATTTAATTTTAGTTATAAATATTTTGTTTTAAAGTTGTAAACAGTATACATGATTGCAATGTAGTATACATCAATTTAGTTGCTTTCAAGACTTATAACTAACACTTAAATTTATTACGTATTTCAGGGTTTGAAATTGTATCAAAACATGCAGAATATACCAACTAAAAAGAAAAACACCAAATAAAAAATGCTAAGCTGCAAATTAATATACTTTGAGCTGATAAAATTAGAACAAAAAGAGAAAATACAGCTTGAAAATATAATAGCATTTTTCATAATAATTTTTAATTATAAAAAAAGGCAATATGTGTACTTTTCTTGTTACTTTTGTACGCTGCTGCTACCCTAGTACATATAGCTACATTAAATACTGTGGGGCTCTTGTTAACTTATTTGAAAAATTTATATGAAAAGACAAAAATTAAAATGAAAAGCATATTTAACTGCCCACTATTGATTGCAAATAATTGTGTAAAGTTTATAAAAAAATTATTAAAACTATTTTACTCCAAGCATTAAACTCTTAGTATTTGTTATCAAAGTAACGCCCTCAAGGACTGAGGTCTTGATGCAAGGTGGGATCATATCCACCCATGCTGTTGTCGTAGGGCTGTTGTTGATCATAACCGCCAGATCCCATGGAATAACCCATAGAATCTTGAGGTGGTGCTGGTGACATCATTGGAGTAGTTGTACCACTAGGTGGGCCGGCCATTGAATATGGTGAGGCTCCAGCTGCTTTCTTTGCAGCGTATAGATTTGCTTCTTCCTGAGCTTTACCAATATTCTTCTTGTATCGTATACGTTTATTGTCAAACCAATTAGAAACTTGTGACACTTACATGAAAAAAATCAAAAAATTTAAGATATTAGTATATTACTAAACTATTATTTTAGTCTGAAATACTTACTGTTATACCGCATTTACGTGCCAATTCTTCTTTGGCTTCCTCGAATGGATAAGGATTGCTCAAGTGACTATAGAAATATTCGTTTAAGATTTCCGACGCTTGCTTACTGAAATTACGACGCTTACGTCGGGCATCTAGGAACCGTGATCGCAATATCATTACTGCTTCGCAAGTAGACTGCTTCAACTGCATTTGAATCGAGCTGAATTTTTTGTGGATAATTTGTACCATACGCTCAATTTCTTTGGGAGTTATAGGTCTATAAAATAAATGGGAAAAGTATAAAGTTAATATCAAGAAAAGTAAGTAATATAAAGTAAATATAAAATATTAATTATTACGATTTATTAGTTTACAGTATTAACATTTTTTTTAATTCAAAAATATTATGAATATTATTTCCTAAGTAAACTTTAAATTTGACCTGAGACTACAGGTGCACTATCGCATAGTAAAGTCTAACAATTAAACAATTATAACATAAAAGGGCTATGATATTTAAAATAAAATGGAAGCGTTGAGTTGAGAATAAAAATTTTAACCCATCGTTCAGAAATTTCTATCGGTTTTTTAAAATTATATTTATTACAATGTTTTTTAACTCAATTATTAATTTGTAGTAAGTGTAATTATTAAATAAATATTGAAATATATAGAAACAATACAATAAATATATAATAACAAAATATAATGTAAAACAATACAACCGTTATCTCTATTTACTATTATTTGGATTATTAGACGTCTTAATATTTTTTTATATTGTATATTTTTTATAACACATTTATTGTTATTTATTTATTGTTTTTCTGCTTATTAGAATAAACAGATTAGAATCTGTAGATTTGGGATTAATTAAATATAATATAAAATATTTTCTTAGATATAAACAATAAACAATAAAATAAAAAAGTTTTGATTATAAGAGATGTATGATAATCCGATTACGTCCGAAATTACAGATCAATGCTTAATGGGTATATCGAGACTGGATTGAGTGCTCACAGTTAAGATTTCTGTAGAAGCTGTCACAAAGAGAGAACAAAGACAGCGGTGTAACATTTGTTATGTCAGTAATTGATTCTCTCTAGCAAAATTGAGCACAATGAACTTAATACAACTTGTCAGATTTATAATTGATACCAATTGGTTTGACAATGCGGTGTGGGAAATTTTTGCGAATATGTCCTAAGTGAACATATTCAATCCTTTTAGGAACGTCAAAACAATAATTTATGTAAATTAAATTTACTTATTTGTAATTATATATAACTGAAGGCAGTGAGTCCTGTATATTAAAAAGTGAGACCTTAAATAATTCACATATTGAAAGCTACTGATTTATAACTAGTAGGTCTTAGTTTTTATACGTGATAAAGTAAAATATTATACTGTAGATTATAATTATATTAAAACCTAATTACACCAGAAATAGCTAAACAAAATTGGACAGATGAATAACCCTTCTGTCAAATTTCAAGAAAGACCAGATCCAAACTGGACAAGAAACGTACCAGGTATCTACTTCAACTGTTTAGCACTACATTTTCAGTACCAGGTTACTGCTTATTGGAAAGAAATGTTATGAGTCTGAGTCTATCCTATTATTAATTTTGTTGGGGTTGTGCGTCTGCGGATAGGAAGAAACTGTACATCATTGACTAGAAGATTTAAAATCTTAAATTGGGAACTTAGCACAAGTTTGTACACTTGTTATCTTGATTTATTTTCACTTAAATTGCGGAGTCGTGCCTTTCGGGGTTGTTTACTCTAGTTTGAGCATGAACAGCACTAATCCATGGTATTAAAATGGGGTATTATTTTAGCGTATGTGAGTTTTTGGACACAAATGCGCCAATGCAATCTAACCCAACCTAATATAAAATAAAATCTCATTATTCAATAGACACACGACAAACTGAAAGTTTTTTGCTTTTCATGGTTATGACATCTTATCAAAAATCTATGCTATTAACAAATTACATGCCTCCACATTTGGCATAATCTACAATCTACATTCCGAGTCTACTATCTTTTCGTAAAACTCAGAATTATGCAAGATTAAAAGACGTTTGATTCGAATATAAAATATATGAATAACAAACGGTTATTTATAATATTTTAACAAATCATTCTAAACTTTTAAAAAATGTTAGAAAAGCGAAAGATATTGAATAGAATACGTTTAAAATATGTAGGTTTCAGGAGCAAATGGGTTCATGTTCCTTGTAATCACTCATCACTTCTAATCGAACTACTCCAACAACAACCTCATAATATGTACGAATTGATTAATCATCAAATCACAAACTTTTCTACCAAATTGCTAGGGCAATAAACTAAGGTTAGGTCAGGTTATACCGGCGATCCCAGGGGGATCCACTTAGGCCCATAGGCCCATTGTGCAACCGTATTACTGAAAACCCAAGGACTAAAACGATCTAGAACCTTTGACAAAGCTTATAATGCTATTTAGTGGAAGGTCTCGAAGTTCGCCAAGATCCACAAGAGGCGACGCCGCGTATGTGCCGGACAGAAACAAAGCAGGTGGGAGGCAGTTTCGTCATCCTCATCACAACTGCGGCAAAAATCGTTGAAAGGGAGATTCAGTCTCCTAGCATATTTACCTAGAATACAATGATCTGTTAGTAAACCTACTACAAGACTGATATCTCTGCGAGGCATCTCTAAGAGAGATTTCGATTTTCTATTGTTGGTCTGTGGCCACATTGCATACAGATGCCTGCATATCGCAAGAACTGCTTTGCAATTGCCGAAAATATCCCTATGACCGAGAACCCAGAATAGAGAAATATTGAACTGAGAAATATTGAACTGAGAAATATTGAACTGCAATAAACTTAACAACTTAAACAAACTTAACCGTGGGCTTGTACGTCTTAGTGGTGATTAACATATACATATTTATAGTATAAAAGTAATTAACATCAAACTATACCTGGTGCGACTCTGCTCTCTGAGTAGATTCATTACGTGAGTAGTGAATTCATTGCATGCCTGTTCATATTTCTCCAGTTCTTGATGGTATATTTGTCGGATTTGAGCAAGCTTAGCACGATAATCTGAATGTTCAATGGCATTATCTGCTCCATCAATTGACAGGGAAGAACCTACTTTAAAATGGAAGAAATTAGAATTCTTTTTATTTTTTTCTGTACATCAGTTAAAAATATATAATATCTACCTTGACTGGCTGCAGCAGCGGAAGCAGCAGCTGCTCCACCGCCACCTTTCTCAGGACCAGCAACACCTTCAGCAATCAACATATTATCCAAACGCATCAATTGGGGATCTGGTGGTTCCTCTTCCTGGGTATTACGAATTGATAGAACTAAAATAAAATAAGATAAGAAAAATTAAGTAAATTAACTATTTTACTATGTACTATTCATTCCTTTTAATAACTACTTTAATTATTTAAGAGTAGAAAGTAATTATGCTAAACAGTGTTAGTAATTTTTATAACATTAACTTGATTAAGGATTCAAGTTTAATATGTTTTAAATTTGAAGATTTTGTAATCCTTTTTAGTATTTCGATTTTTGTTTTACAACAAAAGTAAAAACGATTTACGTAAAAATATTTTAGCATTTACTGATTTACACAAAAGTGTAACTCCCATGCTTACGTGCCCTACGTGTGTACGTACACATTTACGTACTCAAACAATTTACCCATTTTAAAATTCTGAAAGACGCCCGTTAGGGCTCCACTCCTTCTTCTGCAGAAATTTTCTTTTGTCGTATTATAGACCAACATAAAATTTTATTTGCTTGTGCAAAAATCTGGAAACAAAATCGACGCCAAGTCAACTAAGGAAAAAGTTTCTCAGCAGCAAAACAGATTGTCGTTGTTTAGCGATCCAACATACATCCGTACACGTCTTGGGAATTGAGAAGTTGTTGTCGTCGTTGGGTTCGTCGTTGTTTTTGCCATTTTACGCAAAATACTTTCAAGGCTTCTTTATACTTCATACTAACTTAATAACGTTGTTCGTGTATCAAATATTTCTCTTTTATTTCATTTATTTTTTATTTTTCAGAATAGTTCTTCAACTTCTCAAGGGAGTAGAGTTAAAGGAAACTTGCGACATTTGCAGTTTTAAATTTGTTTTTTCTTTGAATAATCAAGACTAAAACATTTAATATTTTATAAAATCTATGTGAGAATTTTAAAATGAAAATTTTCTTACTTTTAGCTTTATGTGGTTTTTGTTCTCTTAAAGGTACTTCAAATATTAACGAATATATATACTATCGTTTTGTTTTTTAACGAAAGAACAGATCTAGGGACTTATCTGCATTTTAAAATGAAAGCTTCAACAAAAGAATCTGTTTATATGTAAAAAACATTGAATAGCAACATCCTTTTTCAACAAAAAAGGAATAGCAGAATTAATATAGAACGATCAAAATTCGCTATTTCTAAACTAGTTGAAATAATAAAATCAAATTCTCCATAAAATAGTTTTTCAGACGTGCCCTCTTCTGAGTTTTTCCATAATGTTTTCCTTATGAATAGCCAAATGTTAAAAGATTACAACGAAAAAAATAACAGACATGTTGTATTTTTTATAACATATCTATTTCAGGTCCTGAAAACTTTAAGTACGCAAAATAGAACTTAGGGGTAAATACAATATATATAAACGAAAACAACTAATCATAAATATATAACAGATTTTAAATTTCAAGCAAATCGGTTTCAAAATAACAAAGTTAGTCATATTAAGTTCAAGTTCAAGGATCATAAAGAACATAAACATAAAGAAAATAATTTCCAAAAAAGACATAAAAAGACAATACTGATATCTTGCAATACATCTAAATATTACCGCTCATTCTATTAAAGAAGAGTCCACTAATATACAAGCCTATAATAACTATTAAGGCATTTTTGTATAACCGATTTTAAGCATATATATCAAAGAAGAATAAAAACAAAAATGATGATTAACAACCAACTAACGAAGGACACATATACATATTTGTTTTATATAACATTATTTTTGTGAGCTTGTAATAGACAATAATCCATTACCCAATATTAAGCATACATAGAGTGAATTAAAAACACAAATAATTATCTTTATTATAAATGAGTGTTGGGCTATCAGTCTCGACGTCTTACCCTAGAGTCCTTACATATAATGACTAAACCCACATATAATTTGCGGCGAGATATAGAAAATATTTCTGTTGTTTACTGTGCATTGCTAGAAAAATCATTCTTAAGATAAACTGATTGTATATTCTCCGTTGTAATTATTTTAAACATTTGTCAAAAATATTTTTTATATACAAATTTTATTCTATTCAGTTGTTTTAAATTTTTTTCCCTGATGATGGTTTTAAAAAACCGAAACGTCGGAAATAAATTTTAAATAAGTAATATAATAAGAAAAATTTTTTATTAAAAAACCAAATTACAAAATCTGACTGATAGCCCAACACTCATTTATAATAAAGCTAATTAAAAAAAGTCAGCATATATGAAATGAACAAATAATTATATATCAGAAACTGATGGATGGGATATAATGTTTTATGTGTCAATATTTTTGTAAACTTGTTATAGACAATAACATATTGTGGGGTCTTGATGATACCCACATGATATAACTTCTCCACTCCAATTTTTTCTGTTTTAATTTAGTGATTTATTATTTTTTAAATAAAAAATGTGAAATTACTTCAAAATTAGTTTTTTTTGTGTTAAAATGAGTGCTTTCCTATCTTAAATTAGGTTTTAAGGAGATAGTACAGAACATGATGCAATTAAAATAAAGACAAATATTCTATTTAGTCGATATTATTCACACAGTCGACAATATTTATATCTTTTCAAATTTCATAATTTAAGTATATAATTATTAATAACTATTATTATCTTATAGGTATAAGTAAGCATTATAATCTTAAGGAAAATTAGGATTGAAGTCAAAGTCGTTAATTATTATAAAATTATTTTATAATAGAATTATTATTCTATTATAGAATTATTATTCTATTATACAATTATTATTCTATTATAAAATTATTATTATATTACAGAACTATTATTCTATTAGAGAACTAATATTCTATAATTTTAATTCTATAATTATTATTCTACTATAGAATTATTAATCTATAATAGAATTATTATTCTATAATTATTATTTAATAATATAATTTATATTCTATAATAGTGAATAGTTTAAAGAAAAATTACGATGGACCAAAATATTCATAATATTCGTACTTTATAGTTATTTATGCCACTTAACCTTCAAAGTAGCTTTGTTAACAACAAATAAATTAACAAATGATTCTATAATATAAAATATATCTTAAAAATTGACATACAAAAGTAAATTTTCAAAGAATAATCTTTTTCCATTACCAACGTCATATCAACTTTCAAAAAGATTTTTTGTTAATTCTTGGACACAAATGGTAGCTCTGGCGCCGCCAAGAAACTAAACTCATATCTTAAATTACTAAAGCTAGAAAAAACCCTTTTATTTAATTGTTAACAGTATTAATCATATTTAAAGTTCAGATATAAAAATTGATTTTTGTTCGAACGTATTTATATAACAAAAACAAATTTTTAAAGTTTTGTAAAATTATAGTCTCCTCTCAAAAATATTTATATAAACTTTTATATAAAAACAAAAGAAGAGAAAGTAATATTTGAGTTTTACCAAAACTGCAGTTATCAGAAATCTACACACGTTTAAGTGTAAGTACTTAAAAGGATTTAAGGAATTACCATTATTATACATCCCGCTGTTTAGTGGTTTCATTGATGTCCTTAAAATATTACATCAGTGAAGTATTTTATACATAATAAGAGAGGAAAATTATGTATCTAAATATATGCACAATAACATAATAGTATAAGAATTGAAACTTATTATTTATAAATTACACAAAAAATATGTATAAAAGTATTAATTATAAATAATTAAAGCCAATAACGAAAAATAAATAATCGAGACTTTCAAAAATTTCTTACTATAGCCAGAGTAAGTTCTACCTTCTATCAAAATAGCAATTCTCAGCTGTACAAAATGTGATGATTGCTCAAAAACGAAAACATAAAATTTGAGTTTATGTTTTTATTAATAAAATTATTTTAATAAATATTTAAAAACGTTTTGCTATAATCGAGAAAAGGGGGGAAAACGCATGTTTTTTGAACATGCAATGGAGTCCCATATTCAGAGCCTGAAAAACCTTTCCTATTAATTTTGTGGTTGGCGACAGATGTTCAAATGTAATATCTGAGCATCTAAGCACTGGCAGTGGCTGTGGCAGGCTCATGAACATCGAATCTGATGCATGTACAGTTCGTGGGACAATCTTGACACAATTCTGTGGTTTGTTATTTATTTTTGTAGGTAACTTTTGGTTTTTTATAGTCCATTATTATACGGTAGAGAATTTGGTTAGATTTTTGAAACCAAAAAACAAATTTTGTGCTAAATCAATACAAAATTGTACTATTTTTTTAACACAACTAAAGTTTATTGGAAATATTGCTCTCGAAATAATGTATTATATATAAAATATTTAAATTATTAGAAATCAAACGAACGAATCGATACAAATTTTAATGTGTTGGAATATCTGCATAGTACGTTAGAATTGCCGCAAATGTGGTATTTGACGGGTATCAACGTGAATGCAGAACAGATAAATCTATTATTGATGCTTAAGCTCAGATGTTACAAAACCAGATCCTCGAAAAACTTAAAAACAAGACGACACTTATACAAATGGTATAGAATAATATCTTTCTATGGCGTATAGGAACTATTAAAAGCCAATTTCAGTCGAATTTTAATAATTAATGTATGATGAGATTGTTGGTACCATTTTTTTGAGTACCATTATAAATACAGATCAAGAAAAACGATGATTGAAGAGATGAGCACATACTATTCAACCTTAGCTATTTAAAGCTTAGCTCTTTTAAAAATGCAAAAACGTCGACATTCATACAATAGATAGGGATAGACAAATCTCTCAATACCAGAGAGTAATACGAAGGCTTGGTTATAGAAAAATTGATAGCATATCCACAGAAATGTGACGATTGGCACTATTATTAGAAACGACGACAAAGAGTTGCTTAGTTTTAAAGGCATGAAAAATATAATCAATAAATCAATGAATAAAGTAAAGATTAATTGATTAATTGATTTAAGTGATTTTTTATTAATTGATTAAAAGATTATTACAGAAAATTTAACTTAAATAAAATAAATAATAAATTTAAATAAATATAATAAACAAATCAATGAATAAAGTAAAGATTAATTGATTTAAGTGATTTTTTTTT